CTGTCCCTGCCGGGGCGGTACCTGGACCCCGTCGCTCCAGCGCCCGGCACGGCCCAGCACCTCGCACCTGAGCCAGCGCAGAGCCTTTGCTGCAGCCCGGCACACGCAGCTCGCGGCCGTAACGTCACGGCCAACAAGTCAAATGAAAAAAAGTCCCTGGAAGTTAATTGAAAAGCTCAAAGGTAGATGCTGCCCAGATATTTCTGGCAGGAGGTGCCGCGGTTTGCTGTCACGATGGGTCGTGGATCTCTCTTAGTGTCGGAAGAGATTCGCAGGGCTCCATTTAGGGGACCTTATAAATGCCTACAAATATCTGAAGGGTGGGTGTCAGGAGGATGGGGCCAAGCTCTTTTCAGTGGTGCCCAGTGACAGGACAAGGGGCAATTGGAGTCTCCTTCTCTGGAGATATTCAAGACCCGCCTGGACAAGGTCCTGTGCAGCCTACTGTAGGTGACCCTGCTTGGGCAGGGGGGTTGGACTAGATGACCCACAGAGGTCCCTTCCAACCCCTACTATTCTGTGATTCTGTGATTGCTGCTGGAATTTCAGGTGTGGGGCGTGGGGCACTGACCGCGAAGGGGCACGTGCGGTCTGCGTGGCTGCAGCTCTCCCGCTGGCGCAGAACCACACACGCTGCACGTGACGCTGGGGAAAAGGGGACCCGCACGCTCCGGGAAACGCCGGGAAATGTCTTTGTGAGCCCGCGGAGGTGAGATGCCCTCTGTGCTTTCTGCTTGTTCTTTGGATCCGGGCTTGGCTCAGTCCGGGGTCACAGGTGGAGCCGGCTCAAATCCAATCTCTGCTTTGGAGGCGAAGCTGATCCCGCAGAGGCAAAGCGCCCTGCGTTAGTGTGAAGGCAGGGGTGTCAGGAGTCTCCTGCTGAGCGTGATTTCTGCAGGTTGGGTTCAGGAGAAATAATTCCGCTTCAGAAGCAGCTTCACAACAGAGGAGATGTTTGCATTTCAGCGAAAGGAGACAGACGTGACCCAGAGAAACCCAGCAGCCCCCGCTCCAGAGCCCTCCACCACGCAGCGCTGCGGCTGGCAGGGCGAGCAGCGGGCGGGCTGCCGG